CCGCCGCCCTGCCACTTCCTCTTGCAAAATTTCTCACCCTGCTGCACGCCAGGGCCGAGGCGCTGCGCTTGGCCCTGAGCACTGCCCGGCCCCCGGGTAACCCCGGCACCTCCTTTGCTACCCAAAATATATCGCCACGGCAGGCTGGCTTCTTGCTCCTTCCCTGTTAGCGCATCCTCAAGAGCTGCATTGCATCTGCTGTCTTAGGGAAGCAAGCCCAGGCTGGACCGAGCCCGACCGTGCTGCCGAAAAGTGGTGGGGAAGGGGGCAGGCTGGTGAGGACGCGGCCTGGGACCCCCTCCGGGGTGCCGGGAGCCCCTGGTTGTCACACTCCAGGAGGGAGTGGGTGCCTCTCCGCTCCGCAGCTAATTTTAGAGCAGCGGGAGCGATTTCAGCAGTGCTGGCACCCGGCTGAGGCAGCTTCGATTGCAGCCCAGGAAAACAACGTTCAGCTCCTTGGTCCTGTTTGCAAGAAGCACTCGCTCCAGGCCACTTAAAATGCTGTGTTGGCCTTGGAAGAGCCTCAGAGCGACAGCATCATTCATCATCACCCTGTTCCCCTCTCCCCCTGCAGCCCTGCGGAAACCCAGCCCGGCACAGACCCATCCCCAGATCTGCCTCCTCTGTCCCCCTCTCCCCTGGCCCCTCCAGAGCCACCAGCGTCCCGCTAACACCCTGCATTTTACCCAGCAGCTTTTAAAGCAGCTGTGACCTTCCTCCTTGTTGAAGATCACAGGTATTTCTGGAGAGCCAGGCAGGGAAAGGGCTCCGCTCCCCACAGGCTATCCTCCTCCCTCGGCAGGGGCTCCTGCGAGGGGCCGTGCATCCATGGGGATGCAGCACATCCCGGCACGGGCTCTCCCCACCCACCTGGAAACCGGCGTGTATTCAGGAGCACGTCGAGGGGACGAAAGAAAAACCTGACACACTGTGTTAAAAAGGACTCCGCTTAGGCAATGCGGTATTAATGTACGCGCTAACAATTCTCCACCATATTTCAGTAAAGAAAGAGGGAACAAGGCCAGAGAGTATCGTGCCACTGAATAAATCCATCCTATGCCCACACTTCAAATACTTCACGCAAGACCCGGCCAGCCCAACCAAGAAAGAATAAAGAACGGCAAGAGGTACTGCGAAGGGCAGGGCAGCCTGAAGGTACAGGAAGGTTTCCATGCCTGGGGCCAGCCTGGATCTGGAAAGGAAGGACCAGAGAGAACCCAGATGTGACGGAGAGCCACAGAATCACGGGAGATGTTCACATGAAGAGTGCAGTAAGTTTAACACCAAAAGGAGGAGTGCTTTTCCAGGCCATGCACGATCAGATTTGCAGAATTTGTCACTAGGTCTTCTGGTGGGTGGATGTACAAAGTCAGACTCGTCAGAAAGAGCTCACTGATGGCTATTAAAAATGACGGTTCAGATGCAACCCCAAGGAGTGCCCACGACGCTGCTCGCAGGGAGGCCACAGCAGCAGCACACCATCCTCGCCCTGACGTTTCTGGTCTCTCCTTCAACATCCACCAGCTGAGCAGAGATGGCACCGCCGTGCCCAGATGGCTGTTCTTACGTTAATTCCTTCATGTCCTTTTCAAGGCACAACTCTTACCATCGCTAAGTGCTGATTTTACGCCAGGCCAGCGAGCGCGGGGAGCTGGCAGGCAGCAGCCTTGGCTCTACTCTGCAGCCTGACTATTTGCAGTAGGACCATCAGCAAACCACCCCTGTAAAACAGGGCTATCACTCGCTTCTTCAGGTCACAGGGCTCCTTCGACTGCTCCAAGATCCTCACACAAACTACCATCCACACACGAAAACCTCTTCCCCTCTTGATAGGCTGCAGATGGTGTTTCATACCCTTCCATCTGTATCTGTTAGCTGAAGGACTTAAATTGCTACAAGCCTTTGACAGCTCTGTACCCCACAGCCAGCAGCATCCCGTGAATACAAACCTGGATGTCAATGTAAAGACTAGCAGGAGGATACAACATCTGCATCTCAAGGAGGAAGGCAAGAATCCAAATGGCATATTTACAAAGCAACTTGTAACACTGCAAATAAATAAGCTATCCTCTTAGCAGCGCGCGTACTTCTGCAGTGGCACAAACCTCCTCAGCTTCACAAGGCTGCATTTAGAAGAGAAAGAGGCTTAAATCAAGCATGTGCAACATGAGCAGAAAGCGAGCGTGGGGCTGATGAACGGCACAGGCGTCGAGGCTTCACCGAAGCCTCAGCCCTGGGTGTTTCACAGAGGGAACAAGGTGCTGCCAGCTTTGCAGTGCCCCATGCGAAGCTGGATGCACTCCCACAGCTCTGCTCCGTGGGCTTCTCCAAGGAGCCCTCGCTTTTCCATTGCGGTCCACCTGCTTGGGAGATCAGCTCCACAAAAAAAAACAACCAAAGAAAAAAACCAAGTAATTCTGACCCACTGGTTCAGCAGCAGCTCCAGTTAATGGTTACCTGAACAACAGCCCCCAGAAAACCCACCCACCAGTGACCTGCACTGGCTCCCAGGTGGGAAGTGCACAACCAGCTCCGATGAAACCAGGGACCAAACTCCAGGTGCTGCTGAGACCAACGGAGGCTTTATCAGCTTCAGCGGAGTCTGGACTTCACCCAGGGAGGTTAATCTGGGACCCAAATGTAACGTGCTCTTAAGTACTTTGCTGGATCAAAGCCCAAATTATTAATGCCTGGTATTACATGGTAACAGTACTTAACTATGTGATATTAAAGTACCTATTTCTCTGATGCTTCTAGTTTGCTTATATTTGATAACACTATTTAATGACTTCCAACTATGCCAGCTATTAATTTGAGTTTCTTGTGTTTTCAGTGTGCAATCCCCCTTCCCCCCCCAGTGTATTCAGGCACCCTATTAGTCTCTTTCTGGAATACTGACACTGTTTTCCCTCCATCCTTCTTTTGAGCAGCAAAACCTGCTCAGCCAACAGAAACACACCAGGAACGTGGCTGTGTACTCAGCTTTACGGGCTCAGATCAAGTAAACTTGAAGATGATTTTCCCCTGATGATCCATTATCCACAAACCGAGAACGGAGCTTTATTGCAGTGATTTACCCTCGTTCACCCTCAAACCAGCCCACGCACCTCCCGGCCCCCCCAGCCTTGCAGCCTTTCCCAGCACAGGTAACGAGACTCCAGACAGGGCTTTGCTGTGCAGAGGGTTCAGAGGTGTGATCCCCGACCAGGACCTCAGGATGGGTTTATGGATTTCTGTTTGCTGCTGTAAGTGGAGGGACTTTTGTTTCCTTGGCACAAAATGCCTCCCCCCTTCCCGGGATCACACCAGAGACGTGTCAGGGTGATGAATTGCCACGAAGCACAGGCTCCATGTTTATTACTAGGACCATCAATAACCCCGGGCTGGTGTTATCATCCTGAAGAAGAAACAAGCCTTTCTAATTTTTCTAAAAATCAAGCTTTTCTCATGCTGCTGGGGGAAGCCCAACGACATCTGAAGGAGATGTAAACACGCACAAATCTGGCTTCACACCCTTATACAAATACCTCAAGGCTCAGTGGAGAATCCATTCAGAGTCCCTTTGTAATGCATAACTTATAAGATAAATCCCATCTAACTTCAGGTTCCCTCCTGACCATTTTCTTCCGAGCAGCAATTGCCCAGCCACGTGCCGGCAAGGCCAAGCTCCGCAGACCTTGCACAGCAAAGCGCAGACGACAACCAAACCCCACCACTGGCTCCTCACACGCCCAACAGAAAGCCCCCGTCTTCTTTGAAAAAGTGCATGTTTCCAGTTCCAGCCTTGCACAAGTGCATCAAGGTCCTCCACAAAGAGGAATATAAATGCATGGTTATAGTGAAGGAGAGAACACAGTTTTAAAAAAAAGCATATAGAGATTGAAAAGGCTCTGTGCAAGTCAAATCCACTTCAGGCAGGTTTCTAAGCAATGCTTTAAGCTTCCAGTTAAGTATCTTACACCTCAACTTGCGTGGCATCATCCAGTCTCACTGCACCCTGTCGTGCGCGCTGCAGCCTGTCCCAGCAGACACCCACGCCGGCTCGCAGGCCACTGCCGGCATCAGAGACACCACGGGACCCTCGGG